ATGACCCACCACAGTTTCCTTTTGGGGTTGATCTTGAACTGCCTTCTCCTTTCTTCTTGTTTCTCTCAGTCCACTCTTGGTGGGTTAAGAGAAGCTTTCTTTCTTCACTTTCACCATGTCCTTTCAATCTTTCTTCATGAGCCTTCAGCCTCCTAATGACTTCTTCAGTTGTCATTGTTTCCAGGTCCCCAAATTGTTCAACAGTTGAAGCAATTTGGAGAAACTTAGTGGATACTTCCCTAAGCATCTTCTTCACTACATGGGACTCATTCACTGTGTCCCCCAGTGTACGCAGAGAACTTACTAAGTTGCTTATTTTGGCAGCAAATTCATCAACCCCTTCTGATTCCTTCATGTTTAAGGATTCAAACTCAGCCTTCAATGTTTGAATCCTTGCTGTCTTGACACGATCTGCTCCAAGGAACATCACCTTCAAAGCATCCCATGCTTCCTTAGTTGTCTTCTTCTCAGACAAGGACAACAACAGGTCCTCGGGAATCCCTTGGTAAATAGCACCCAATGCCAACTTGTCTTTCCTTACCTCCACAGTTGTGTTAGCTGTTCTGGGTTCCACTGCCTCCCAGACTCGTTGGGCTTGCATGAAAACTCTCATCTTTATAGCCCATGCAGAATAGTTGCTTCTTGACAGCATCGGGTAGTGAAAGGTGGAGATGAAATTAGAATCAAGGAGATATATAGCAAAAAGAGAAGCTGCACAAGGGATAGAATTGATAAAGAGCAGGGAAGGGCAAATCTAGAAAAACAGCTTTAAAAAGGTTGCACAGTGAAAGAATACACAGAAAAGACAAGTGAGAACATAGGGAACAATATGAGGCAAAGTATTCTACTTTATTCACTGAACAAAAGAAAAAAATGGAATACATTCAACGTACATTTGCCTCTCTACTTATACTAACGCAAAGCTGATTGATTTAGTGCTGACCGGGTCCGGTCAGAGGTTTATATCTTACTCGGTCCGGTCAGATCGTTTGGTTTGCATCTGACCTGGTCCATATCACTTACGCGGTCCAAAATAATGGCTTACTCGGTCCGAAAAAAAAATAGCTGACTGAGAATTCTGCCCCTCGTCCCAAAATACACATTCTCATTCACCTCTTCTTCCTCGTCACCAAGGCTACAGCTCCATCACTTTCTCCTGAAAAGTCGACCTCATCCTCCATGGTCGCCCTTCTACATCGCAATCGTTGTTCCCGTCTCCATCTTCGTCCTTATCGCAGTCACCGTCTTCGAGATCAAGGTTAGGATTCATTATTCCATTCAATTGAAATCCATCAGTTCGATGATTCTATAGCACTTAATTCCATCTCCCCCTAACTTTTCTTGTAAAATAGCACATTAATTTTTTATTTTTTATGACAAATATTGGCACAAACCTGCACTACACTACACCAGGTGACGACCTGCAACTCCATCGTTAAGTAATTAGATATAAATATGTATGTATTTTCTGAAATTAGATGTTATTTATATATGTATTTTCTAAAATTAGATGCTTTTGTGTATTTATTTGTAGAAATTTGATGTTATTTGTCTATTATCCAACATACCTAATCAAAAGTTTTGTGTATTGATTTGCTTAATTGCTCAGAGTATACCACAACCATTGACAGAATTGGCGCATTTTGAACAAAATTGGATCCAATATTGTTGATTAGGAGGTTTGCTTACTGGATTGTATTGAGTGTTTATTGCTCTGTTAGATTTTAGTTATTTGGCCTTGACCTAATTGTCCACCGGTCTTTCATATCTCATATGTTTTTACCAATTTGACTAAATTAAGGTTTTGCAGGTGAGTCCATTTATAGATGAAGGTGGCGATGGACATAACAAGTTTGATGAATCAACCCATATTGTGTTGCTTGATTCCAAGAATCAAATATTATTGCTTACATGGACAATACTCCTTTTACCAATTCTCAAACTGTAACATACACTTATGATTACGGTGCAAGTTTTGAGGTGGATGATAGTTCTCATTCTCATATAGGATTAGGATAATCGAAGTTGATTAGTTATATAATACATGGGTTAAATTTTATGTTGAGAACCTTGACATTTTTGCCCTTACATTGAAGTGATTTTTGTTGCTATTTTGAAGTGGTATAATGTATTTCTTCCATTGAAATTCTTTGTACATATTCATGATGTAAAGTTATAAATTAAATGGTAAATCATAAGGAGTTATTATAAAAAAGTATTGTTTGAGGGTAATATAGTCATTTTGTACAGTCATTCAGATGCAAAATCAAACAACAAGTTTCAGTCAGAAGTTAACTCAGTCAGAACTTCTAACTCAGTTAGTTTCTAACCCAGTCAGTTCTAACTCAGTTAGCAACTATCAAACGACCCCTAACTTGACTAGCTGCCAAAGACCAGGAACACACTCACTGGATCTTTGATTTATTCAAACATCAAATAAAATGTGCATAAACCAATAATTCATAATTATTCTTATCAAAAATTAGGATTTTAACATGTTTAATAAGAGTATCGTGTAAATAATTACTAATTAATTGAGGTTTTTAGGGTTCTTAATCTTTTATTGTTCTCATTTGAACCACTCCATATATATATATATATATATATATATATATATATATATATATATATATATATATATATATATATATATATATATATATATATATATATATATATATATATATATATATATATATAAAATCGAAGATCATATCACTGAGCAGGAAAGCAACGGAAACAAAAACCATGGAAATCGTTGCTGTAGCTGTAAACCCAACATCCATCGGAGCAAAAGCCGGCGCCAGCACCATTGGCAACTCGAATTCTCGAGCAAAGACAACAGTTGAGGAGATGAGAAAAACTAAGAGCGAGAATGCCAATCTGAGAGCACCATTAGACGCCATTTTCACAGTTGGTTAATTTGATACAGAGCGATGAATGTCAATCTGAAGGATGTGAGAGAAAATCAGAAAATAGCGTTTGCGTTTTATGGACTCAAGTTTGTACATATATGGGAGTTGCATGTTAACGTAACATTTTAAACGTTGGGGATGCCTTGGTTGAGGACCAAAGGAACATCTTTTGATAGGACTAAAATACATTTCTTTATTTGAAAAAATGTTTTGTTTTTTGATAAGTGTTTATAAATTTAAATGTTAACAAAACGATATTATATATAGATTAGCTTATATAAAATAGAATAAATTGATAAATTATGTTATAATACTTTTTAAAAAATCTATTTAGATATTTAAATAACCAAAAAATATATGGTAGAAGTAAATTGGTGTAGTGGATTGCTTAGTTAAAGTGTTTATTAGTTTATTATAGTTTGTTGATTGCTTACTTAAAAAGCTTATTATTTCGGTTTGATATCGTTAATACACTTTCAAATGTTTGGATGGACTAAAATAAAATTGTTTATTAAATTAAATAAATTGTTTTTGATAAATCAATAGCTTTTAACTCAAATTCCTTATTACTTATAGAAAGCCGATTTACGTTTTTACCCTTATTTCAAACTTTAAAAAATTCATATGTATAGTAGTTGTTAATGGTATGGAAGTTGTTAATGGATTTTTTTTTTTTTTTGCTTTATAATATGATATATTATACTACTCTTATAAAATTTCTTTTTTTATTGCTATGGATAGAATTGTTGTCTAAAAATATGATTATAAGTTTATTAACGATAAAACTTAAATTGTTACACTTAAAAAACTAATAAACCGATAATATATAAGAATGTCGTTTTTGATAATTTTGCACTTATAAATAAAAATTTACCAAACATTAAAAACAACTTATCAGTTTATTTCATTTTCATACTTGATAAGTTAATTCAAACACTTATACTCAAATTTTGTTTGATGTCTTATAAGTTAATAAGTACTTTTAATTAAAGTATAAGTTGTTTTAAATAAAAAAGCCAAAAAAAAGGTTAGAATCAATATGATTTTTTGAAGTTGAAAGCATAAATTGTTCTCAATATAAAATAAACACTTTTAAATAAATATTAAATGTTTTTAAATAAGTAAAACTAGAATGAAATAAGTAATTAGAATGAAATGATTTTCAAAAATTGATTACTTAAATCGGTAAATATTTTTTTATTCAATCGAAGCATCAATAAATGTTTATTAACTGTATACCGCTTATAAGTCGGCAAGTAAACATCAATAAAATGCTTATTACCATACAGCCATTAGCCATTAGCCATACACCAAACCACAATAAACCATTACACACGTTAACTAAGTAATTCCAAACATATCCTAAAAACTAACGAAAAAACTATTTAAAATTGCTACATAAATATGGAGTATTTTAAATTGTTTCCTCGAATATTCTTATAAAAATATAGAGTACAATAATCATTTTAGACATTTCCAAGGAGTACATCAATTAAAGACTTGTTAATATTGGGAAACAATAGTTGGTACATAGAATTTGATCAACAATCCTCAAAAATAATTCTATAGATGCATTTAAACAGTTTTGATGCATTCCATTTTTCGATTTTACTTATTATATCCAAAAAAAATATCTACATCTCTTCAACTTTCAGAATATTTTTTAATGATATCTCAAATGAATGAATACATTACAAATCTCCATGTTATATCATGTAGGTTAAATTAAAGATATATGTCTTATAAGGTTTGTTAAAAGCTCAGTCCACCACCCTTAAACCCATATATAATTACTATTTTACCCTTGCTGAAATAGTAAAAACTCAGGCCACCACCCTTAAGATTCATGTAATCTGCAATTTCAAACCCCTATTGCAGATTGTTTTATACTTTTATGTTGATAGAAACACATAAACAACTAGAAATTAACTTTGGAAGCTCTCTCTTTGTGCCTGATAATTAGAAGACCACAGTCCATTTATTACTTGCTATATTTCCTACTAATATTTTCCTCCTATTTCAAAACAACAGACACCTCAAAAATGTCTCACAAAAAAAAAAAAAAAACACACCCTACAGTAGCAATCAGACAGAAATACCCCTGGAAGATGATTCAGCTTCCAGATACTTACACATCCTTTCCATCACCTCCCTACCCTTAGCACTATTCTGCTGAAACTTCTCAACACATTTCTGTTCTATCTTCTCTGCCATTGATGCCAGAGTGGACAAGGGTTTTATCCTAATGCTTGTTTCCTGCCTGCAAATTGTCCACTCATTTGGATTCTCAGGGTGTGGATCATACCTAATCTTCTCCTCCACTTCCACATATTTCTGCAAACTAATGTTCTTGGTAGCAAGCTGCATTGATCGAGTTTTAGCATCAACAACAGTTGATTCAACACAATGGCAGATATCTTGACCAACAATCTTGCGAAGAAACCATGGGCCAGGAGCATGAATGGTGATGGCTCGTGTTGTGTAGAGCTTCCCTGATTTGGAATCAAGGTTGTGGTTTAATGTATCGACTTCTAGGATGTGGGATAAGATGCGTTTGTTTTCTGGGTCAGCAAATTTGCGCCATGATGCTGATGTCACTCGCTCCCATGGGTGCTTGTATGTGTGCTCTTGGGAGTAGGCTTTAACCATGGTGGCTTGTGTTTGACCTAGATGGAGATATGAGGTATCAAAAGAGTGTTGCAGAATGTAAGGATCTTAATCTAATATAAAGCATCCGAATCAAAGATTGATAGTGAATTAAGGATCTTATTATGTTATTTAAATACTGTGTGGAAATGTGAGTCTACTGATTTAAGAATTTGGATTTATTCCAATCAGACAAATTCTCCAATATACGATTTTCTGGAACGTACTTGCATATACGTGGTATGTATAGTGGGAGAAGATGATGATAATAGCTTCAAAAACTTCAATTTTCCAAGAAGAAACCACTATTCAAATTTCAACACCAAAAAACAATGAAAATCTAAACGAAATTGACTAGAATCCTCCTGATAATCGTCCACAGAATCAAGCAATAAAAATAAGAAACAGCAAATGAATTCATTGACAAACAACGAGAGATGATACAGGTGAAAAGCAGATCATCGTCAAATAACTATATCGAAATAAACCAACAAAAACCATCAGATTCATAGATGGATTATCGATAACTTTGAAATTAACGACTGATACATTTTGAGCACATTTCAATCAACCAAAAGAATCACGGAGAAACGAGATCGAGATGAACGCACCTTATCCTGGAAATCGAAAGCCGGTTCGGAACAGTGAAAATCAGGTAAGAGAGAAAACGAAAAAGAGGGGAATTTGACGAGAAAGAAAACCTCTTTATTTTAGGAAATTGTGTAGTGCGGTGCTCTATGACGGTTTCCGTGATCACACCGTTTACAGACAACCACGTGTCAAACAGATCTGATCGGGTTGCTCTCTTTCCGGGTCAACATTTTGGGCCATACTTGTGAAGTTGTGATACTCGATTTTCTAAAAGCGTGTACACAAAAAATATGGGCCTAATAAACTTCATAAACTCAATAGCCCAAATATAATTAACAGCTAACTAGGAGTCTAGGCTACATGAGAATTGATGTCCATAAAAACTAGTCTAGGCTATATGAGAATTGATGTCCATAAAAACTCGTGCGGCCTGGTTCTGGCCGATAGGCCTACAAACTTGGACTTGTCCCAAGGTAGGTTCGGCAAATTAGTTTGATAAGTATGGCAAGTCTAATGTCACAAGCTATTTCTTTTTTGAATTTTTAGTTCACTTGATATAGTAGTTTAAAATTGTAACCCAACCAATTTATATTTTTTTTTTAAAAGGTTCTTGATCTATTTTTTTTTTTTTTTTTTTGAGAAATTAAATATCCTCCTACTTTTCTTCCTACATATCATCCTACTCTTTTGACATGATGACAAGTATATTAAAATATAATTAATATTATTCAAATATGACACTTGTTATATTTCACATCATCCTCGTCGGTTAACTCTGCCTAGTGACCATTCTGTACACCACCTTAAGGCTTTGCTATATTTCTTTTACAGTAGGAATGTTATTCTGATTTGGTGAGTCTCCTTCTTTTTCCTTCCGTTTTCATCCACCGGTTCCCTTATTATCATTGAGATCTTCTAGTTGAATAAAAGAGTTTGGGTATGGAAGATTGCATGTGTGTGATGATGCCCTAAACGGATCTAGCCCATTGATTCACAATAGCTTGGTTTATTTGATTTTCGATTTGAATCTTAGGGAGTGTTTGGATTAACTTATTAGTTTATTCTTTATTAGCTTATTTGTGGTGAGAATAAGCAATAAACAATAAGCAATGGGGGAGATGCATATTAAAATTAACTTATTTAGCTTATTTCTAACACAATAAACTGATTTTTAAGGATTTTTATCCAAACACTTAAACTTAGCTTATTGTGGTTGGAATAAGCAATAAGCACCCTCTTTTTTTCCTATCCAAACTCCCCCTTAATGTTCTTTCTTTTTCTCGGTTTTTTGGTGTTCGTTTTGGTATCTTTTTTTTTGGGTTTTTGGTGTTTTTATTTTCCGGGTTCTTTTTTTTGTTCTTTTGTTGCTAGATTTTGCATCGTAATTCAATGGGGGAATTAATGTTTGGGTATTAGGTCTCTATACACCTTCTTGTTATTGGGTTTTGCATTTTAATCTCAATGAGAGTCATCTGCAAATTTCTTGCGGGTACGAAATCAAAAGACACCTGCATAACTTAAGTATTGTCATGGTTTTGATTTTTTTGATTTGTTTTTTTTTGCACGTTGATTTTTTTCCAATTGCATCTTCATTGGGATGGTGGAGGGTGGTTTATTTTTGGATAATCAAAGTGGAAGAAGGTGGAGGGGAGTTTGACCGGTATTAAAAGTTTGACTGTCTTCTTTATTGATAGCAAATAATCAAATCCAAAAATAAGGACCATTTAAAATTTAAAAATTAAGTTTACATCTTATTAGAGCATCCACCTTGATGGTGCTTGCAAATCAATTGTAAATGTGTACAATATTATGTGAAAATGTTAATATGTTGATTAAAAAATATATCAAGTGGATGAAAAGTTAATATATTGATTAAAAATAGTCTGCATGTGTATTCCTCTCACATCACCCATATTCGTTGATTAAAAAATTAATAAACTATATTTGTAAAGCTTGCACGGGCTGAAAGATTAAGTCTTATGTGGCATGAAATATTACTTGGTGGTATTGCAAAAGAATTTCGAAAGATCCCGATGTGGATGCTCTTATGCAAAATAATAAATAAATAAATAAAATAAAATTAGGGACCTTTTAAAACTAAAAACGATAGTTTGTTGTGTTAGAGTGATTAACCCTAGTTTTAAAAAAAGGGTAAATCAAAATTTTCATACAAGTTTAAAATTTAAAAATTAAGTTTACACCCTAGGATGAAAAAAAATAGGGACATTTTAAAACTAAAAGACGATAGTTTGTTGGGTTAGAATGATTAACCCTAGTTTAAAAAAAAGGGGAAATAAAAAAATTCCATACAAGTTTAAGTGTAATTAACATAAAATAAACATAGTTTAACATGGAAAATAAAAAATTAAAAAATGAGTTTGGGGAATACCAATTCTATAAAACTTATTTGTATTACGTGTTTATGTGGAAATCATATGAAAATATCATTTGTATTAATGGAATCAAAGCATGTCTTTAAAGTTTTAATGAGTCTTGAAAAAATTCATATATTTTACGTAAAAAGTAGATGATTTAAAAAAGAAAATAAAATGATGATAGCCCCACCATATGATCGGAGCATTTTGGTTTTAAGATCTTATTAAAAACAACTTTAGACATTGATCTCACTTACAATATTTGTGTTTAATGTGTTTGTTGGTTACAAACTTTATGTATAACTAGAAGGTGACCGGTTCTTCGTGACAGTTTGATTTTTTTTTTCATGTTTATATATTTCGGTGTTGCTTTGCTTCCTTTTCTCGTTTGTTATTTTTATTTTGTGTGTATATAATGTTTTGAGGAAAATAGGATTGTATAGTAGAATATCGAAGGTGAAGGGGCCAAAAGTCAAGCCCACAAACTAATATGGCAAAAACTTCAGATGTTGGTAAATGTCAGTGATCAAAAGTAGCAAAACTCTTGAAACCTTTGTGGCTAGCAGTACAGAATATTGAAGTCGATGGACCAAATTTGTCAATTCCACAAACTAATGTAGTAAAAAGTTAAGGAGAAACCAAAGTAGCAAAGTGTTGAAACTTTTATGACAAAACTTTGAAAAAAATTGAGGAGGAGGGACCAAAAGGGCCAAGTGTTGAAAATTTGTGGCATAACTTTAAAAAATAAAAAAATATATTATTCATAAGGTTTATATGATTTAATTGTATATAATGTGTTTGTATGTTACGATATTGCTTAATACCGATATGTTACAATATTGCTTAATACCGATATAGTCTCTTAGATACATAACAAAAAATATGAAAAAGACAAATATAAACTATCCTCTCCTTCTCTAATGTTGTGAAATTTATTCTTGCTATCGTATCAAGATAAAAATCTGGACCTTCTTGAGTACGGTAGTCTTGAAGAAACGTTATCATGTTGTACCATGCGGAACAAAAGTCCGGATTTGTTTTAAGAAAACTGTATCAAACACAAGCATCGGTTTTTTCCGTTGATCTTTTTGTTTTTTATTGTTTGTTTTTGTCCACAGACTCTACATGATCTCTTGTAAACAAGTGTGTTTGGTAATGTTCCTTGGATGATGTTGTTCTTTGGCCTATGTTTTTCTAATAACTGGTGTAATGTAAGGCCATGGGCAGTGACATTTGACTAGTGATGTTCAAGTTTTCTTATGGCTATGATGTCCTGTCATATTATTTATTTCTCTTTATAAAACACAACAGGTTGAATTAGGTTTAGTGTGAGAGGGTGATTGCACCTAAAGAGGTTGGTGGTTTTGAGGTTAGCAGTTTATTGCTACTAATGGGGTATTTTGGTAAATTAAAGATGATGTTTTTTAACAAAACTAGATCGTTATGGGTGAGTTTGATAAAAGTATCCATGGTAAGATGGTGATTTTAGACACTTGGCAGTTGGCAAGAGGGTACGTCTTCAAAAAAAAATTGGTAATTGGATTTGAACATATTTTTGTAATGACGTATGGGTTAGGTCAACATCGTTAGAGCATATGGTATGGTGTTATGAAAAGAAGCAACAAGAAAAGGGGATGGTGTTCATGGTGTTATAACACCATGTTAAAAGGAGAGAGAGAGAGAGAGAGAGAGAGAGAGAGAGAGAGAGAGAATTTAGGCAACCAATAGAAAATCGTGTTGCATCTAATCATGGCCACAACAACAACAATAAGCAACACAATTAGATACAACAAGAAAGGCGGTGGTGTTGATGCTTCTTAATGACATTGAGGATGCTCCACCTAAGCAACAACGAGATGCAATATGACCCATACTTTATCCTCTTAGCCAATCGATTCTCAAAATTAAACTATTAAAAATAAAATGGTCTCGTCTTTTTATTGTGTCATGTAGAAATACTTTATTTAGAAATAGTCTTTATGTTCATGAAGTGGATGGGCAACTTTAGTTCTCTAAAGTTTTTGCTTGTGTTACTATCACGAATTTGAAAAATTATTGGCGTTTTGATTTATAAGGATCGGGCTGTTTCTCGGTTTCCAATATTTTAGAACGCTAAAGGGTGTTTGGGAGTGTTTTTTAATAAACTTATTGCTTTTTTAGGAAAACCATAAATTTATGTCTTTTTGAAAAAAGTCGTTTTTACATTAAAAAGTTGATATTGTCGTATATATTTTTTTTAACTTATTGGCTTTTAGAAAATCTAAAAATTAAAAGTTATTTTGAAAAACACTCACAAATACCACTAATTTATAGCAGTGAATGGTTTAACAAAACAAAACAATTTATGAGTATCGTTTTTTTTGTTTTTTTTTTTTTTTTCTGTTGTATTACGACTCGTTATTACGACTCAAGTTCTTTGGTCGAAGCTGACGAATTACTATTACATTTGGCTACATATTTTTTTTGGAAATAACGAATAAGTATATAAATGACTAGGTGTGAGACCCATGTATTACATGGGTTTAATTAAAAAAAATATGAAATTTTAACAATTTGAAAAGTTTGAATTTTATTAAAGTTATTGAAACTTTAATGTATTAAATACATTACATATATAAACTCTTTCTAATAAATACTTTACATATATATTACATTACACATTAAATATAGAATTTTAATTTAATAAAATGAAAAATACAATAAAATGACAAGTGGAAAATAGAAAATTTAAAATTTTTAGAAAATAACAAGTGTCCAAATGAAGGAGAAAATGACATGTGACAAAAAAAACTTTCATTTATTATAGTAGATAATAGATTGGGCCGAATTTAGACGTTTAGGCAAGCAATGGTTTGACAAAGTTAACTCTTAGGGTAAATTACACCGTTGGTCCCTCGTGCACATGCCAGAAAGCATGTGTAGTCCCTATTTCCAAAATTTAACTCGTGCAGTCCCTCGTTGTTATTTATTTTGCATGGTTAGTCCCTATGCACGTTAACTGTTAAATCCTTCCGTTTAAGCTACCCACGTGCCTTGCACGCAGGGGCATTTTCGTCTTTTTAGGGTTTGTGTCCATATTTAATGTCGTTACACCTTAAATCTTATAAAGAACACTGCAACCCTCTTTTCCTCTGCTATCCTCTCGTTCGTCTCTTCCCCTCGTTCGATCGATTTCTTCCAAATACATAACAATGATCGATATTAAATGCAATTGTGGAGCCACTGCAGTGATTCGCACATCTTATAGCAAAAGAAACCCTGGGAAACTCTATTATGCTTGTACAGTAAAGGTAAGGTTAATGATTTCAATTTCGTTCTTCGTCTTCTCTAATTTTGCCCTAATTCTTCATCTACTTTAATTGGTTCAGGGACCATTATGCAAGTTCATAGGATGGGTGAATGATTATGATCAGGACTGTGATTGTATGGCGTTTAGGATGAAACTTGAAGAACAAAATCGCAAATTGAAGCTTTACCTAGTTATTAGCTGGGTTTTTTTGTTTCAGTCCTTATATATAAAGTGTAGGTTTA